ACAAGTAATCTGAGTTCAAACAGTAAAACCAGTTCTCACCTTTCCTGGTCATGCTGGTTGATTGTACGTTTGTAAAATACAAGCAATCTGAGTAATCAACCAGCATGACCAGGAAAGGTGAGAGCTGGTTTTACTGTTTGATTTTACCAAACTAACACAAGTAATCTGAGTAATCAACCAGCATGACCAGGAAAGGTGAGAGCTAGTTAAACGAGTAATCAGAAAGAACATCACGGCATGTTCTCCAGATCGGGGTCTATGTGGTACAAGTTCAGTAGACATTTTATACCACATTTGAAGTCCAAAGTAACCTTTAAGGTTGAGCACAGTGTGTTTCATGATTTGTAATTGTGGTATCTTTGTAACTCTTTCATCAGTCATTTTTATTTTACTAGATGATTTTTGGAGATTAAAATGTATGTTAATTTAACCCAGATCTTGTCTGCGAAGTAATTCGATTGCTTGTAATTGCTGATAAATGAAAGACATTATAAGTTACGATACATTTTAGTTCACTTCAAAATAAAAAACCTTTGTCTATCACATTGTGTAAACATATTGATAGTTATTGGGCTGGAATTCATAATTGACTGCCCTTGTCTTGTTTCTTAAGTTGAATCCTTCTTTGTTATATGGACTAATCTATTGTCCCTCTCGGTAGGTAATGCACGAGTTTCTGTTAATATTTGTGATTAAAAGTTTTTAATTTGTGAAACTTTTATTTCTTTTTTTTTACTTTAATGTAGAAAAAAAATTTGGAGTTGTTTCACCAAAAGCCAAAGCCGAAACCTCATCTGACGAAATCTCTTCAAATGTCGATATATCTGAAGTAAGCTGGAATGTTTGTTAAGTCAGTGTCTGATTTGTTGATATATCTGAAGTAAGCTGGAATGTTTGTTAAGTCAGTGTCTAGTTTGTTGATATATCTGAAGTAAGCTGGACTGTTTGTTAAGTCAGTGTCTGGTTTGTTGATATATCTGAAGTAAGCTGGAATGTTTGTTAAGTCAGTGTCTGGTTTGTTGATATATCTGAAGTAAGCTGGAATGTTTGTTAAGTCAGTGTCTGGTTTGTTGATATATCTGAAGTAAGCTGGAATGTTTGTTAAGTCAGTGTCTGGTTTTGTAAATATTTTAACACCTTCAATTTGCATTTTACCTTATGAAAATATATCTTATAACATACTAACTTAAAATATAAACATTTTTTGTTGAATGCAATGTATCTGGAAAAATTGAAGAGCTAACAAAAAGATCAAGGTGTTTCCTAACAAGAATTGTTGTGTTTAATGTTGAACAGAAACCTTTATAATCAAGATTATTGTTTGTGATGTGTCAAGTTGTTTTTATTCATACAATCTGGCACTGAAGTTTTCACCATACTTTCTGTACACTGTTAAATTCTTTTAATCAATATTCTTATACATAGGAATAAAAAAATATGCATATCAAAAATAAATGAATAGTTTAGTGTGGAAAGGTAGCATGTTGACGAGTGTTTGAGTTAATATTTTTTATTTTTAAAAACTTTAATAACTTGGTGGTATAAAAATATTCATGTTGTAGTTGCCTATGTTAGTAGACATGAGAAATGATCCTGTCAGTCACTGTGTTTCTTCACTATAATGACTAACTTACTACATAATTTTAACGTTGTCTAGAGCACCAATAATTACGTTAATCAGACTACATAAATTATAGTGACAGAATTGTTTGCTTCCCACCTCAGGAACTGTATGATGTACTATAGCACTTGTTACACAGAAGTAAGATCCGTGGCCAGATTAATCAGTCTACATAAATTATAGTGACAGAATTGTTTGCTTCCCACCTCAGGAACTGTATGATGTACTATAGCACTTGTTACACAGAAGTAAGATCCGTGGCCAGATTAATCAGTCTACATAAATTATAGTGACAGAATTGTTTGCTTCCCACCTCAGGAACTGTATGATGTACTATAGCACTTGTTACACAGAAGTAAGATCCGTGGCCAGATTAATCAGTCTACATAAATTATAGTGACAGAATT